CTGACAATATTTTATGAATATATGTATAAGTACATAGTGTGCTTAAGAAAGCTCATCTGTAATACACTCTGAACACTGAGTGAAATATTCCAAGAATAAATGAACTTTAAGTATTTATACCACTTACAGTTGTTTGGAAGTCGCTTTTAGGCATTTAGTTTATTTCTCCAAAATACTGAGGCAATAAACACAATTTCAGAAAGGAAGAATTACATCTTTATCTGACTCAGTTTCAAACCTTAACATTTGCATAACCTGAAACTGAACAAAGCATTCTAATTCCTCCAAGTCTTTATACGGGAATTGTAATTAAGTGTACAGAACTTCTATCTCAAGAACTCTTTCCAACTTAAGTTTTATACTAAAAGCATTTCTCCATAACTTCAAGCCAGCATTACAGGGATTACTCAACAGTTGTATTTTGTCGCTAACCTATTCAGGTAATACAAAATATATACCTCCCAGCATCTCTCTTCTTTATTTAAGAATGAAGTATTAATGTCACACACAAATACACAACGAAAAACTGTCTTTTTTTTTTTCTTAAATTGAACTCTGAGATATAAAGACTATGAAGCATTCTCTGTTTTCCAAGATATGGAATAGAAAAAAAGAGAGAATGTATTTCCTTACTGAAATAAAATAACCTATTTTGTGAATATGACAATGGCCTGGTAGCCAGAATAAAAAGAGAAATTATTTATATTGAAGAATACTACAAATATATTCAATAATTTTGATACATGAGTAAAATAAATCTTAATCAGTTTGACAATTTGAATATATCATGACTTTCTGCTTTCTGGATATATTATACATTAGTAGATTCTACTTTAGTTCTACAATTGCTAGAAAATGAAATCACTATTAATTACTGTCCTTAACTACTCTGCCTAAAACATATTTACTTATCCATGTAAACTCACTTAGTCAATAATCATAAACTGAATATCTAGTATATGTTAGATCCCAGAAACATAAATATACATATATATGACTATGCCTTCAAAAAGGAATACAGTATATAAAAAGGCAGATATGTCAATAAATAAGTTATAACGTAGATCATGAGAAAATATATAAATAATTCTCATGGATGAAATAATAATGCAGTAACCATTTTGCCTTGGGAGGTCAGTAAAAGCATCTAAGAAAAAGCAATTTTTTGAGCCGAGTCTTGTGGGAGGAAACGTAATTCACCAGGAAGGTAACATATGAAAATAGAGAGTTTTCCAAGTAGAAAGAATAAAACTGTGCCATTCAAAGGCCATCTGGTATGTTCATGAACATGTGTGAAAAGCTTGGCATCACCAGGGCATTGTGTCCATAGTAGGATGTGTTAATAGAAGACACTGAAGCCACAGTTTGATGCTAGTCTACAGAGATTTTTCTTTTGCTAAGAAAAGGTGTTTTGGACTAAATCCTATGTGCAACAGAGCACACATTAGTTTCAAAAGTGACGTAAACAATCCAAGTCATTTATCAGGAAAACAAGTCTTGTGGAAGTTGAAAGTAAGTTTGGAAAGAGGTTGAATGCTTGAGACCATATAGGTAACTCTTCCAACTATCTACTCAAGACAGAAAAAACAGCTGCAATCAAGAAACGTATGCAGCAGAGCAGAAACAAATTTGGAAACTAATTAAAAATATAACAGAAAAGTATAAGTGCTGATATCACTAAAACAATCATTTGTATCCAAACTGTACTAACTTCTAGAATAACAGATCTTAACCTTTCAGGTTACAGATCTACTTAAGAATCCAGCGGAAACCACAGTGCTACTCTGATATGCTCACATATAGAAAAATTCTCAACTTTTTTTTAGGAGATCTATAGATCCCAGTTAAGAAATTGTGCTTTAGAGCCCAGGAGTTCGAGGCTACAGTGAGCACCACTGCATTACAGCCTGCGTAAACCTGTCTCTTAAAAAAATAAAAAATTAAAGAGAACTTCTGCTTTAGATGAAGTTCATCGAGGAAAGAAGTTTGTATCTTACTCAAATCAATTTCCACAGTGCCACGCATAAAACATGGTACAGCGTAGGCAGTTCATCATTTTTTAGTTAGACTGAATTCTCCATTAAAAATGCAATGGTTTTGGCCAGGTGCGGTGGCTCAGTCCTGTAATCCTAGCACTTCGGGAGGCCGAGGTGGGTGGATCATGAGGTCAGCGGATCAAGACCATCCTGGCCAACATGGTGAAACCCTGTCTCTACTAAAAATATAAAAATTAGCTGGGCTTGGTGGCAGGTGCCTGTAAGCCCAGCTACTTGGGAGGCTGAGGCAGGAGAATTGCTTAAACCTGGGAGGTGGAGATTGCAGTGAGCTGAGATCGCGCCACTGCACTCCGGCCTGGCCACAGGGTGAGACTGTCTCAAAAAAAAAAAAGGAATGGTTTCATTTGTATTAACTATCTGCATCACAGCATCCCCTCATGAAACTACATTATGTATCAATTTAATATACTTTCCTCATACCCATCCTTGAGTATACTTAAAATCATCTTCCCTTTATCTTTTTGGTATTCTTCTAGTCATAATTATCTATATTCATCTCTTCAAATGTATATATTTGTGTGTATGATACTATCACACTATTCCCAATTAGATATTTTCTGAAAGAGGACAGTGATGAAAGCATTAAATGTGAAAAAGGCACAAGGAGTGATGTCATGCCAAATGGAATGTCTGACTTCTTTACCCTACTGACCTGTGTACTACCCATTTTCCCCTTTCCCTAGTTTAACCTTTGTAAGAGGAAGATAAAAAGTTTGATCATCGTACATAACTTATGTAAGCTCATAGTAAAAAGGAGAGGGAGGAATGATGCGCAGTAAGATTTAACTTGCAAAGAAATAGATAATCAGAATATAAAATATGCCTGTGCTCTTGTGAAGAAGCAGTATGCATAATGTTTGTAAACATGGACTCCAAAGACAGACTGCTTGGTTAAACCCTGGTCCTTCCATGAATTAGCTGATCTGAACAAGTTATTTAATCTCTCTTTGCCTCAGTTTTCTCATCTGTAAAACAGAATTAATAATAATACCTCACTCAATTACTATGAAGGTTAAATGAGTTATTACACCATGAGGAATGCTAAAAACACTAGTTCTGTATGTCTGACATATGAGTTAGCTAAAATATTACTATTATTATTATTGAGATGGAGTCTCACTCTGTCACCAGGCTCGAGTGTAGCGGTACGATCACTGCTTACTGCAGCCGCCGCCTCCTGGGTTCAAGCGATTCTCCTGCCTCAACTTCCTGCGTAGCTGGGATTACAGGCACGTGTCACCATGCCCAGCTAATCCTTGTATTTTTAGTGGAGATGGCGTTTCACTATTTTGGCCAGCTAGTTTTGAACTCCTGACCTCAAGTGACCTACTCGCCTTGGCCTCCCAAAGTGCTGGGATTACAGGTGTGAGCCACCAGGCCCAGCCTAAAACATTATTCTTGGTGGAAAAATGTTGGCATTGTCAAATGCCCAAAGAAATCTTGACCTATGAGGCTGAAATGTTGAATGGGAATATTTAAATCTAATATGAAAATCAAAGTATTAATCTATTACACAGCTCTCAGAAGATATCTGATTCTTCTTCTTGATTTAATTCCACATGCAGTAATTCAAAATCACGAACAAGTGGACATATTTCAGTTCTAAGCATATTTATGACAGGCAATAATTTCCTGGAGGAAAAATAAGATTTAGCAGAATCAGAGCTGTCTTTAAAGGTATAAGAATGTAAGGTAAAATATATTTTTGTTGGTGTAATTCAGGTTCAAATTAACAACACTAACATCCGTAAAGTAGAAAAGGTGGAATGATCACAAAAATGTGACATCCACCCAAGCAGCCATGTTGAAAAGGTGAGGGTGCCTTTAATGGTAGGTAAGTGCCCTGCCACCTCCTTAACGTTATGATTCTATGTATTTAAGTTGCTAAGAAGGACCACAATGACTTATTTGTGTTTGTGTGTGCTGTTTAAGTGGCTTCTTTCCTCTCATCCACGAAGTCCTGGTTTCCTAATTTTTTTTTTTTTTTTTTTTTGAGACGGAGTCTCGCTCTGTCGCCCAGGCTGGAGTGCAGTGGCCGGATCTCAGCTCACTGCAAGCTCCGCCTCCCGGGTTTACGCCATTCTCCTGCCTCAGCCTCCTGAGTAGCTGAGACTACAGGCGCCCGCCACCTTGCCCGGCTAGTTTTTTTGTATTTTTTTTAGTAGAGACGGGGTTTCACTGTGTTAGCCAGGGTGGTCTCGATCTCCTGACCTTCTGATCCGCCCGTCTCGGCCTCCCAAAGTGCTGGGATTACAGGCTTGAGCCACCGCGTCCGGCCCCTAATTTTCTACAGTGATCCAGACCCCAAGATAAGAGGTCAGAGGATTTACCCAGAGTTGCATATTCCAGAATAGGATGCAAAAAACAATTAGTGAATTAACAAAACAACAGTGTGAATAGGCCTGAGTTAGAAATTAGTGCAGTCATATTAGAAAACTATACTCTCTATGAAATATATTCTTCTATGAAATTCCAAGTACTGTTAAGGAATATTACAGAATCCAATCTTGGCAAAGCAACAAACAGTAAAACACTGATTTATCATGGTGGAAATGTTCAAACTATGTTCATTGTAACTCTATCAGAAAAAAAAAAACAAAAACAACTTTTATTAGAAAAATGATGACACCAAATTTTCAGGCTGAATAATTTTAAATATCTTACTTTAACATTATTTTTATATTTTGTATGTTTTTTCCCTCTAATTAAATTGCAAGTGTCTCAAATGCAAGAAGTCTTGAAAAATACAAAAGACACAGAAAACAGCATATCTTATGCTGCTTATTGGAACAAATTTAAAGAATTTTAAGATGCCAGGGGTGAATCTTGTGCATGGCTTATTAAGTAGATGTTAATTATAAAGCAAAGGACTGAGGCCAAACTATTAGAGGAGTAGACTGGTCAAAAAGTGAGTGTAGGCACAATAAACCATGAGAAACCTACCATTGTATTGTGCTGAGAAGTGGGAGTCCTATGGCCACAAGTCTCTTGCGTCAGCAGAGAAACTGGCTGAAATTCCTCAGAGTGAGGCTTGTTGGGAAAACTCACATGCAAGGGAAGGTGAAAGGCTGGGAGCCCGTCACTCTCCTCTTCTTCCACTTTCTGTCTGCTTGTCACCATGGCTACCTCTCCATCTGCTTCCCCATACGGAGAGGCTGGTCGCTTGGAAGACATCCTGGAAGGAACAAAAGAGGAGAAAATAATGAAACCTCCACATAAATCCTTAATGCCGTCATTGTGTGGTTAGGGGCCATTGTAACAGAAATGCCTTTTTGTGCTAGCAGAGAGCCAGGAAACCATCCAAATACCACTGCAAAGCACACACAATCAGAAACAATGGCCAAGCAGGTAGCAACAGAACAGTGCTTGTTTGTTGTGAGAATAATACACTAATATAGCACTCTCTTGTATTCTGGCTTCTTAAACAAGAGAATTCACCTAAGAACACTGCATAATGAAAGACCATTCCATTTTAGAGGAAAGAAAAATACCCATCTAGTTTTACACTCTGATAGACCTTATTGAAGACAGAACATCTATGAATAGCAAATACTGTTGGCAGTTTAAAAGAAGAGAAATAACTAAGATTTCTTTCATCAAAAAATAGACTCAATATAAAAATGATTGCCATTAAAACAAATTTGCATTTTATTGAAAGTAAGATTATTGTAAAATGTAGAAATATTGGTTATAAGCTAACCTCAGAGCAACTGACTGAAAGTTTAATATTTGTTTAAAGCTTATTATGGATTGAATAAATTTTACAATCACTGTTAATCTTAAAACATTTGAGAATTTTCTTTCCCTCATCTCTCCAAATTACCCAATTTGGGCATTTAGTTATAATAACAAAGTTGCAAGGTAGTAAAAGAAAAGGTGAGAATATGCAAATATTTCAATTCTATTTTCACAACTCCATGAATGATTTAGATGTGAATAATTCTGACTTATTTATCCTTAGGATACTTAAATAAAATAAAAAAAAAAATCCCAAAGACGATATTTTGTTTTGATGAGCTAAAGCCTACATGAAAATGAGCTTAGATAATTGAACAAGAATTAAACATTTTCTTTGTACTTGAGTCTGATTCAGAATATTACCAGAGGTTAAAAATATGTGGCAAATATTTTAAATAGAAAATTCCTTGTCCTTTCATTAAATTATTTCTATAGAAATAAAGTCAAGTTAAAATATTTAATTTAAAAAACTTTCTTGTAGTATTTACAACTTAATCTGACCTTGAAAAAGCTGTTATTTTTTGTTCAACAAAGAGTGTTTACAAAATCATTCATTCTTATTCTAGACCAGTGAGATGGGAGGCAGGGAAGTATTTACTAACTGCCACAACACTTCCTTCATATAGATCACTGATTTTTAAATTTAAAATGTGTTCCCCAAAATGCCTCTAATCATTGCTGAATAATATTATTTTTAGTGTTAGAAGTTTCAAAAGGAAAAACGCATTCAAGTACAGGAGATATGCTATTAGAAATATTAGGACAGTAGAAAAATATAAGGGCTTTACAATCAGACAAGTCAGAATGAAAATACTGATTCTGTCACTTACTGAGACTTAATTTCTCTATCTCAACTTACTTATCTTTAAGGTGAAAAACATCCACTCGTAAGGCTTTTTGAAAATGGACTATGTACCATGTGAAAAATCACTAGTGTATTATTTAGCACAGAATACACACTCAATAAATCATAGCCCCTGTTTATTTAACAAACTAAAACTACAGTGTGCCCCACCCACCCTCAAAAAACAAAAACACTCAAACATGAGGAAAAGAAATTGCCTAATAAAGGGTTTCACTATAAAATCAACATAAAATAAAAAGTTTCCCTTTAGAGAAATGCTCCCTGGCCAGCAATACTTAACAGTAAACCGATCAGATGTTATAGCAAGTGTTCAAAACAAAATCTTAACAGTACAGGTGTTGATCAGCCAAAGAAACAGATAAAGAGGAGGAAATAGGGGCAGCTACCATGTCAGCATTGTCTAAAGGAGAAGTAGATTTGGATACCACATTTCAAATAATTTTAACTATTTCCAATCCCACGAACAAGGCCTATTGCAAGTATATACTCTATATACTCTAAGTATGGAGAAGTATGTGAGGAGCTAGAGTTAACAAAGCCAGAATAGTTCTAGTTCAATTGGCAATACCAATTCACACACTAAATTGATATATTATTAAACATCATAACCCATGAACACTAGAGATATTTAATTCTCACTGTTCTGACTCCATGTTCTCCAGGCAAACTTCTGATTCTCATGTAAAGAGTTTGTGGACAGAACAGGCTTAAAATGTTTGAGGTCTTTGTGAAGTGATTTATTAAACTAATAAAGAAACTTTTAATTATTTCTTAGTTTTGCATGTAGCTTGACTATAAGGAGATTACGCCTTTGTTATACAAACCTTAGCATTTGTGGTCTGAGTGGGCATTATCATTCTTACTGGAATTAATATATTGGTATTCTGGTGTCTGCCTCAGCCTCATATGCAGTCTCTCAATGTCTAAAAACTCTAGTCTGTTGACAAGAGCCAGTTTCTGAGTCATCAAAGCAGAAAGCAAGATCAGCTAGCCTTTCCTAAGTTAATACAATTCTATGACCTTCAGAACCATGAACTTTCTGTTGATTTCTACTTTATTCATATCATTATTGACATCAGTTATGAAAACGGAAAGTCCAAAAGTAGACATAGGTTGTTAAGGTAGACAGACAAGACATTGAGAGTTTTATCAAAACTTCTGGTTATTTCAGAACCTAAATTAACTTTCTATTTAACTGGGTAAGTATTCTCTATATATAGCAATCTGGAGAGCAAAAAGGTTAAGGTTTATAACACTGAACATGAAATAGTCATGATGCCAGAAGGCAAACTGGTCCTAGAATGTCACATATTTCATGCTTATTTCAATTCCATTTTCAGAGTGTTACTGAATGTTCTTAATGCATTGGACTTGAACGTATTTTTAATTCAGGTAAAAGATTGCTTAAAGATTTGTTAAATCGTTATAATAAAAGCAACCATGGTTATATTTCAATGATAGGCTACTAACTCAGAAAAGTAAACTATATAACAAATTACATATAGATATATGAATCTCTTGGTTGTATTATTCATGTTTACTATGACCCATAGTGCTTCTAAAAATATTGACAACAAAATCACCAATAACATCAGATTCTTAAATTTTTGTCCATCTATCAAAGTATTTCATCTTGGGCAGAAAAAAGTCTCATTAAGAAGTCACCACAGGCCAGGTGCAGGGGCTTATGCCTGTAATCCCAGCACTTTGGGAGGCCGATGCAGGCGGATCACATGAGGTCAGGAGTTCCAGATCAGCCTGATCAACATGGAGAAACTCCATCTCTACTAAAAATACAAAATTAGCCGGGCATGGTGGCGCATGCCTGTAATCCCAGCTACTTAGGAGGCTGAGACAGGAGAATCACTTGAACCTGGGAGGTGGAGGTTGCAGTGAGCCGAGATCACACCATCGTATCCAGCCTGGTCAACAACAGCGAAACTCTGTCTCAAGAAAAAAAAAAAAAAAAAGAAGGCACCACAAGTTTGCATATATTGTTCCTCTGAGATATACAGCTTATACTATATGACTTACACTAACTACATATCTGTGTGGCAATTTGTAACAATGTGAGCATCTAGGCTGGTATATGCTCTTATCCTTTAGAGATGATTTTTGTCACTTCTGTGGCGCTAGACTTACCAATGAACAAAATTCAGACTTCAAAGAAACTGACATAAGACAGACAAATATAATCTAATGTGAAACTGCCTTGGGGAGCTATGATGACATAACACTGGTCTTATCTCACTTTGTGGTCAAAAAACTTTCTTGAAAGATATGACATCTAATTTTAAGGCACAAGCAAAATCTTCCAAATCATTAACAACTATTCGATGATCATCTACCATGTGCAAGACACTTATTTAATGGGAATAAAAAATGTATTTCTCAGCCTCTGGTTAAAGAAGCTTATGAGCTGGTTGAGAATATTTTAAATAAAAGAATAAATACTAATGAAAGAGAGTTCAGTCCAAAGGCCAAATAACATTATAGCTAAGTATCTGAGAGTTTCTTGAGGACCAGAGCATCCCTAAATGTCTCATAGAACTGTTGAACCAGTTGGCTTTCAAGGAAAAAGGAGAAATAAAAAGTCTTAGGATAAATAGAGAGGGAATTTCATATAGGAAGTAATAATAAAAGCAAAGATGCAGAGATACTTTTAGAAAGTATTATATAAACTTAGGGTTCAAGCTTACTTGAAAAAAAGAAGAGATTGAGGAATATGGATCAAATCCCAACTGTAGTCTGTAACACTCCTGGAATTGCTGAGTTACATGAACAAAATAAGAAACATGCTTACTTGTAAAAAGTAACTTGCTTTTACAAGGAGTCTCCTTCCCTTTACTTCCCCTCGTAGCATTCTGCATAACTAAGCTACTCTTGATAAACGTGACAGTAAATATAAAACTACTGGGGTCTTTTGCTATTGGCTGAAGGCTCTCCAAGTGTCTTATAATCACTCTGCAAGTAGGTTATCCCCAATGTGTTCAGACATGGAAGGCAAACTTAGTGGTAGGGTAGAAGGTGTAAGGCTGCAACAGAAAGATAAAGCAGTGGTTCTAAACCTTTGCCTGCACATTGGAATTACCTGGAGAGGTTTAAAAAATACTGATCCCTGGGTCTTACCCTTAGAAATTCTGATGTTATTGGTTCTGGAGGGTGACTGGGTATCAGAAATTTTTAAAGTTCCCCAGTGATTTTAATATGCAGTCAATGTTGCAAATAATTTGGTAGTAGTAAAAATAATGTCCCCCAGACCAGGCGTGGTGGCTCATGCCTGTAATCCCAGCACTTTGGGAGGTTGAGGTGGATGGATCATGAGGTCAGCCTGGCCAACATGGTAAAACCCCGTCTCTACTAAAATACAAAAAATCAGCTGGGTGTGGTGACACATGCCTGTAGTTCTAGCTACTCGGGAGGCTGAGTGAGGCAGGGGAATCACTTGAACCAGGGAAGCCGAGGTTGCAGTGAGCCAAGATAGTGCCACTGCACTCCAGCTTGGCGACAGAGCAAGACCCTGTCTAAAAAGAAAAAAAAAAGAAAAGAATAATGCCCCACAAACCAAGATG